GCGTAGAGCTCAGGATATCTCTTAGTTAGGAAAAGACTTTTCAATATAATTTTTTTCATATCTTTATTCGTATTCGCTTCATTTGCAATATTATAATAATTATCTTCATTTTGTTTGCTTTTGCTTTTGCTTTGGTTTGGATGTTTTCCCATTGTCTAGACTTGACGCATTTCATTTAGCATTCAACTTAATTTTATAGGTTCATTTTTTGTTTTATTTTTGTTCTTTCTGTAACATTTATTGCGTGTTTCTTATGTGTGTATTTATTTGTTCTTTTTACGCTATAGATATTTCATTATATTTTTGTTTTTTTTTTTTTTAATTTTTTTTTTTTTTGGTTTTTAGTTTTATTTATATAACGAAATTAACACAGTCAAAATTTGTGATCAGTGATCAATCATTACATACTCATTACGTTTTAAATTATTTATTATTATATTATTTTTCATTGGTTTTTCTTTTGCCTTTGGATTTTGTCTTTATGCCTTGAACAGTTAGATAATGCTTGCTTAACTACGATTTCTGCGGGGTATTTATACTGGATTGATTATTGATTGAGCAACAAAAATGTGCAGCATATGAGTTGGAGGAGAAAACCGAACGGATGATGAGAGAGTTTTGAAAATATAATTGACGAGAGTTCGAGCTGTGGATGAGATGATGAGCGAAACTGAAAATAATTGAGAATTGACTGCTCCGTGGGAGTTGAGTTGAGTTGAGTTGAGTTGAGTTGAGTAGAGTTGAGTTTTCTCGCTGACTGCTGTTAATCATAACAAATTTTTCATTTATTGCAATTAGGAACTTCTTTAATGGACGGATAACAAAATAATAACAATAATCATAGATACATTATATCAGTTGGTTTATGGCAGCTCACGATGGATGTGAAAGTTCTTGAAAATAAAACTAAGGAAAATTCTACAAAAATGCAGCGAGTTGTGCAAAGGATTTGTCTGCTTTCTGCTTATTCTTCGTCTTCTTGTTCCTTAAGGATGGTATGCTGTTAACAATAATTGAGCAACAAATCAAATTAAACATTTAGTTAACAAGACTTAAGTTTTACAATTATTTATAATTCTCTTCTTCTGGCTCCTTTAAACTTTGTGCTCAACTGAAAGCGAATCAAAAGATGTACAACCATAAGTATGTGTGTGTGTGTGTAAGCGTGTGTATGTGTGTTAAATATTCAATTTCATTTTGCAGTTTTTTTGTGCAATTTTCATTTTCATTCATTTTCATATTTTATTTTTTATTTGGTTTTTACTGTTTCTATATATATTTTTAAGAATTATAATTGTTTTTTTATATATATATTTTTGCATTAAAAAATGTTCTTTTTTCTTTGGTGCGCCTTTAATGAATGGGTGTGCGTATGTAAGTGTGTGTGTGTGTGTGTTTTATTTTCTTCATCTTCTCCTTTAACTAAATGCCTTAAGTTATTAACTGTTTGTTTGTTTTACTTTTTTCGTTTGCTTATCTAAATACTTTAGAATTTCATTTTGTTGAGACCATCATACATACATATATAATATACATACAATTTGTATTTATACATCATTGCGCACATGCACAATGTAATTGTTACATCATGCACGTACAACTCTCATATATGTATACATATTTCTCATATTCATTTCCTTTTTTTTTTTTGTGTGTGTTGGTGCCGCTCTCTAAAAAACCGGCACCAAAAATGCTTCAAACATTTCGTTTTTTTTTGTTATTTTTAATTTATGTTTTTTTATATATATTTTTTGTTGTTGTGTATATTTTTGCGGGGCTTGTGTCATTATTTGTCCTAAATGCTTTGCCCTTCTTATTTTTTTTGTTTGCAGTTTTTGAATTTTTATAAATATTCTTAAATATTTCCATTTTAAAAAATTTTCACTATAGCCAACTAAATATTTTCGATTTTCGACAAATGATACCGTTAACTAGGTGTAGAGTAAAAAAGAATATGAAAAGTAAATACATTAACTTAATTAGTTTTGTTCTTTAAAAATTCTCAGCTATTTTTTTCTTTTCTTTATCTTTTATAACTAAAATGTTTTTTTTTTGGAAATACGCTCCGAAACCGTTGAGCAGCTATTTGTTGTTGTTATCGATTTATTAATCGGTTCTTTTGTTGTTGTTGTTATCGTTACAGTTAAACCATCCACATAACACGCACTTTGCAATTTATAAACATTTTGATTTAACTATTTTTTTGGTTTTTATTTTTCGTTTTTTTTTCTCGCTCGGTCATTTATATAATTGAATTCCGACACCTGTATAGCTACAAAATATATATATAGTATATGCCCAGTTATACTTATATATATTTATGTTATCACCGATTTCACTTGATGTCGAGTTGAGTCTGTGTGTGTGAGTGTTTTATCTGCTTGCTTCTAGCTAGATGTACTGAAAAAATTCTGTGTCTGTGTGTTTGCCTAAGTTTAAATTTTGTTTTTGTTGTTTTCACTGTACGGCTGCTGCTGCTGCTGCGGCTGCTTATTTTATTTAAATTTTTATTTATTGGTGTAAATCAATTGCAGTTGCTTTTATTTTTGTTGTCAAATCCATCTGAACTGGTTCAATACAAAAATCTAGGTAAAAGTTCTTCAGTTGGTTTTACTTTTACGAAAGTCTGTCTGTGTGTGTGTGTATTGGTGTGTTGGTGTGTTTGTTTGTCTGTCTAGAAAGTTAATAAAGTAATTTTCGCTTGTTCTTGTTGCTTTCAGATTATTATTAGTTAGGTTATGTTTTAGGTTAAGTGTATGTATATATAGAGTATTTCCTTCCTTCACTGTTGACTGTGTAGATTTAGCTATATATATCATGATCTATATATATATAAATACGTGTGTGTGTTTTTGTGTTATATATTCCTCATTTTATCGACAGTCTTGCGCCTAGAATTGTGTATTTTTTGCTCTTGTTTGCTTATAACTGCCAGTGTACCTTATTATGGGAGTACTTTTTGCATATATATAAAATTAATTGTTTTTCCCCTTTTTTTCTGGATTTTTTCTCTCATTTTTGGTTTACATATAAAAACTCGTGCTACATATAGGTGCTTAAATACGTTATGTTATTGTATATACTCATTGCATAAAGTACATCCATCCAGACATATATATATGTAGAGGTGTGTCTGTGTGTGTGTGTAAGTGTGAGTGTGTGTGTGTATCTATATAATAGTTATGCTCATAATACATATACATAAATGTTTAGTTGCTACTCATATGGTGTATACCTCAGCATTAGCTATATATTTATATCTATAACTCTCGACTAACTGTACAAAAAACCTGCGCTGCCTCTGCTCCCTGCTCTGCCTTGTCTTCTTATTACAATTAAGAAATTAAAACTTTACGTTGATATAGTGTTTAATTATCATTAAATTTAGTCAGTATTGTGCTAGGTTTTGGTATTCACAAACTAAAAATTCACATTTTAACTAAAATCATTTTTTATTGAGGAACTTTACCAAAACTTCAAATATATGTATGTGTGTGTTAGTGTGGTTGTGTGTGTGTATTTTACTAAGCTTAAGTGGTGCATTGTTTATATGTTTATTTATCAGCTAAACTTAGCGTTTTATTGACTGCTTGAACTTGTTTTGCCTTTAACTAGCTGTTAATTACATTAACTAATTATTAATTAATTGTTTTAATTGTTTTTTTTTTATTAATTTTAATTTACTTTTTGCGAAGTTTTGCTCCTACTTTGTGTTTGTCTGTGTATTTCCTCTGGTTGACTTTTATGTACAGTTGTTTTTCTTTTCTTGGAAAATAAATGTTTATAAATCTCCCCATTTAAACTAACCTCTAACTTCCTATACTTATTTTGTTTTTGTGTTCCTTAGTGTCTAAGTTCTTGTTTAGGCAGTTTTTTCATTCAAATTTGTGTACATAGATATATATATCTGTATATATATATATCGCTATTTGTTTGTCCTTTCTTTCGATTCGTAACGCGTCTATTGGATTTAGTTTTAGAGTGCAATTAAAATGTTTTTCTTGTTTTTTTTCGTTTGGTTTGCTTTAGTTCATGTTTATGTTTGTGTTTTATTTATATAAAATTGGTAAAACTAAAATCAATTTCATTAAAAATCGAATTATATTAACTATTTTTTGCATTTTCTTTATATATATACATATAAATATATATATATATATATATATATATATATATATATATATATATCTGCCCCATGCCTTTCGCTTACAAAAGGTGCCCTTGAAAGTAATTTATTTTTGTATAATTTTTTCATGTGCAAATTATTTAAAAATTCTTTGGTTTTCATATTTATATTTACTTTTTTGTTTTATAGATATTATGGTCGAGTAGTTTTTAAATTAAATGATTTGATTAATTTGCAAAATTTGTTCTTTTACATTTCCTACAAAATTTGGCCATTTTTCTTGGAAGCGCTAAAAAGTGTTCAGTTTTGAGAAATCAAGAAACATAGAGGATACATATATATATATATATAATGGGTATTATAGATGAGGTGCATATATATATCAAAAATTTTGAATAGGGTTTCATAAACCATAAACTAAATTAAGTTTGTTTTTCGTTCATCATTTTGCCTAAATTAAGGAAGACCATTTGACTGTCGGCTTAGGGGAAGTAATGAATGGCAAAGTAAATAAGTAAGTGTGTGCGTTAGTCGGCAGTGCTCGACTAGAATATACCCTGAGCTGTTAATGGCAGCACTGCAGCTACCGCGAATGTGAGTTATGAATAAAATGTGATAAATACGCTAGGCTGAGGCTTACGAGAGTCTAAATAAAGTTTTCGAGTTACGGCTAAAACTTATAAGAATAGTTTCAGTTTGAAGTAACTATGTTGGAAACAGACAGACGACTGACTCAATCAATTTTGAGTTGCTTTCACATCTTGAGCGAGCTCAGGGTATCAAAAAAAAACTATTTCAAATATATTCAAAATTGAAAATTAGTTCGAAAACAAATTCTCTCCAAACATTTTCTATTCTTTTTCTTCTTCTTTACGTTTTCCTTTTTGTTTTTATTTATTTTGTTTAATATGGTTTATTTTCTATATATTTAATTGCATTGGGTGTCTTTAAAATTGGAATTATGTGAGTCGGAAATAAATTTGGTTGACTGTGCTTTCATTTTTTTGTTTTACTTATTCTTTTTGCTATTTGTTCCGTTTTCTTTTACTTAATTCTTTGCTCTTTAAACATTATCATTTGTTTTTTGTTTAAATACATATATTTATTAATTTATTAATTTGCTGCTTCGTCTGCCGCTTCAGTTTATATTTTTTCTACTATTTGCTATACGCTGCTGCTTTTGATTATTCATCGTGTTCTCCTGCTTCCTGTTCGTCCTTATATTTATATAAATATATTTATATTACTTGTTTTTAGTTTGCGTAAATCTATTTAACAATATTCTTTGCTCTCGTCCGTAATATGTGTGGTTTTTTATCCTTTTTGGTTTACTTTTCCTCCTTTATTATTATTATTATTTTTAGTGTTTAACAATAATATGTTGCCTTTTGCGTTTTTCCATATCTCTAGTTAAAATTACTTTTGGTTAATGTTTTTTTTTGGTATTTTGTTTTTACTTTTATTTTTATTTTTTGTTGTTTTTCAGCGCGTTGCACAGTTTAACTCTCTCGTGCGCTGTTGTCTCACTTGTTGCCTCCGCATCCGACGCTGCACCACCTTGGGGGGCATGGCCGCTTATTCCTCGCCGAGCAAGACCAGATCGTCGGCAACGACATCGCTCACGTGCAGGTAGATAATCCAGTACATCAGATTGAAGCAAACAAAGCACACGGGAAACACAATGCGCGAATATTTGTCAATATCCGAAGGCGTAATGCCTAACAGTTTGTTGATATCCTGTGAGCGAAGTACATATAATAGATAATTATTATATAGTCCTCCATTTGTTTGAATGGGAAATATCAAAACTCTCAGTTATATAACGGAATGAGTCTAAGTATATGAAAATCTTTCTATTCTTCATGTCTGTATACATAAGAATAGTTTGCATGCAAAATTATATATCTCTAGTTTTTAAAGTTCTCGAGTTGTGCTTAAGCAATGAAATCTTACCTTTTTTACTTTGCCTGGATGTAGCAGATGTGCTGGCACTGCCGCTTCTGGGTCGCCGCCAGCATCTGGTGGTCCGCCACCGCCGCCGCCGCCTCCGCCACCGCCGCCGGGTCCGCCTGGTCCGCCTGGACCGCCGGGCACTGGTCCGGGTCCATGGGATTGGGGGCCGCCACGGCCGCCATTCACCGTATTCTCCAGTGTGCCGCCCTTGGAGTGTGCCTTGGGGTCGTGGACCTTGAATCTCACCTCCTGGAACAAGGGTCCCACTATCGAGCAACCGCGCGTACCAACGTTTTGTTGGATATTTGTAAAGCCGATTGGGCGGTTACTCACTGTTTGTTTGGGCGCATGCGGATGACCATGGCTGTGGGCATGATGACCATGCCCATGTCCATGCTCAGGACCGGGTCCGCCTCCGACATTCGGATTCGGATTGGCCTGCTGCTGCACACCATCTAATTGTTGCTTTTTCTGCTCAGCTATCTTTTGGATCGCCATAAATCTTTGTTTTCGCATTTGAATTCGTTTTGCCATATAGCCGACGGTGGCGTATTCTACGATTGCGATATGATATATATTGGATATTGGATACAGTTTCGAATTGAGTCAGTTTTTTTGTTTTTCGTTTTTTGTTTTTTGTTTGAGAGAATTGATTGCGATTAACAATTTTGATAATGGTTCAGAACGGACGGTTGCAGGCGGTACGTGGTGTGTGGGAGGAATTTTTTTTTTTTTTGATATTTGTTGGGGATTTTGATGCGGATGCACAAGAAAATTTTGAATCAAGTCCGCGTTCCAGATGAGATTTTTGATGATGTTGAATAATTTGTTGTTGTTGTTGATGGTTGTAGTAGTAGTTGTTGTTGTTGTAGTTGTTGTTGTTGTCAAATAGTTGGATTGTTGTTGCACAGTTTTGTAATTTTGAAGTACGGTTTTTGGAACGGTAAATGGAGGGAAAATGGAGCGTTGTTGTAACATATTAATTTTTGTTGGCATTCATTTATATATGTACGCATAAGCACACACATATATATATATAGATATATATATATGCATATATGTGCGCACAAATAGTTATGCAATTATATATATATATAAATATATATATATATATGTATATCATATGAAGAAAGATTAATAGAAAAAGAAGTTGGTGACTTATAAGAATTTTGATATATGTTAATATATGTACATGAATTTGTCTTCGGGTTGGCATATGAAATCAAAAGTGGTAAGGTGTTGGGGTTAAGGGCAAAGCACTACGGGTTAAAAAGGCAGACGAGAATGCTCGACTGGAGGATACCCTGTACCGGGACGCTTAAGCTTTTTGGCATAAATGATGGCAAATGATTTCACATTTTGAAATTATAGCGAGTGTAAGAGGCAAGTGATGCTATATAGCTGATATGGAACTGCTTTTTATATCGACATATATTGAAGAATTATTGAATATGAACTCAACATATTTATCCAAACGAATATTGGAGATAAATTTCATTTCATACTATATAGTATAGAAATATTGAAACGTATACTATAGAAATATTGAATAACAATCGTTGAGATTCTAGATTATAATTGGAGGAAATCTAAAGAAAAGCTTGAATTGTTTTTTTAGCTGAAGAAATGCTGAATGTAAATTTGTTGAGATTATAGATAATTGAAAGAATATTAAAGATCAATTTGATTCGATTTTATATAACTGAAGATATATTGAATAAAAATTTTTTAGAGTCTAAATAGCTCAAACTCAAGAAAAACTTGCTTAATTACTTAAATTTTGTTATATCCATAGTTGATGCTATATACAATATATTGGGAAATTTTTTGTATGTTGAAGAGATATGTATATATAGTGCGATCAACTTCAAGCTAATAATATATATTTTTTTATACTAAAATTAAATAAATTATAAGAATATATTCTTAGAATAAAATATATTTTTTTCTAATAAATATAATAAACTATATTCCCAGCTTGATATGTCACAACAATATAACGGAAAATTATTTCTATATTGTATTAATACATAATGAACGATATAATATCGGTAAATCTATGGATATTAAAATGGCTATTCAGAATGAACAACTCTATAGATATTTCATTGCACTGAAGGATATTTATCAAGAATCTAGAGTCGAGATACTAGAAATTAAGCTAAACTCTTAAGAGCTGGTATTTTTATATAGACAAATATTTTAATTTAAAATTTTAATATATCTTTCACTTGTACAAGACAAAGTGTCAAGTCTTAAAGTAGGACATGTTACTCTATTTATTTGCTGATTTTCCATCATTTTCCAGGGTACAGGGTATAAATAAGCAACGTCACTTGTGTGTGCTGTTGTTGTTGTTCTTGTTGTTGTTGTAGTTGGTTGTTAAATAAAAATTGAATAAATTTCATATTCTGTACGTTAGCCAAGCAACAAAAAAAACTGTGAGAAAAGCAAGTGTAGAATGTGTGTGTGAGTGTTAGAGAGAGGTAAATATAGACAGAGTAAGATAGATAAAGAGCAATAAAGGTGTAATGGCTAAATGTGTGTGTGTGTGAGTGTGCTAGTTTGTATGCGTGTGTGTGTGTGTGCTTTGTCAGTGTCTCTGTCTGTCTGCTGCAAATGGTATTTGTTGCTGTTGTTGTATTTGTTATTGTTGTTGTTGTTGTGGCTGTTGTTGTTGTTGTTTCGAAATGAGTGAACGAATACATATATATTATATATATATATATATAAAAAATACAGGTTAATTTGTTAGCCAAATGATTTATGTATAAAATTTTTTATATCTGCAGTCTGAGAAACCATCATTCAAGGAAAATGTTGATGTGCGTGCCTCAAATGCAAATTCATTGAACAATCGCCTCTGGTAGGGGATCTCGGTTGGTTGAGGGTTGGTGGTTGGACACCCATGTATACATACAAATATGGCATGTACACACATACACACACAATTTCCAGCTTTTCGTTTTATGTTTCGTGTATGTTTATGAAAATCCTTAAGTGGAAAGGACATGCAGGGATCACATACGCGATCCACTCACACTTCAAGCTCTATGTACTTTAATCTTGGAATGGGGTATACGTTTCTTTACTTTTTACTTTTGAGGAAGTTGAGTATATAGTTTCATAGAACAGTTAAACGAAACAAGTTTACTTACCCAGCTCCAAGGCGCCTTTGCTGTAATATATATATGCATATTGGATAGAGAACAGCTAACATATCTTACCTAACCTCAATTTGTTTATATATAGATATTTTTTGTGTGCCGTGGCATTAGCATTTGCGATTGTCATGTCTGCGACACACATTCAAATGCCACAGACTTGACAAGCCAAATGTTATAAAATATCTATGAGTATATATATCTTGTTGTTGAGGTACGATTATTGCTCTTCAGCTAGGCGTGGTCGTTATTCTTCTTCTTCTTTGAAGTCTATATACAGTGTTGTGTTTTCTTTTTTCATTCTATATATATGTATATATATTATATTATATTATATTCAATTCAATCGCGACTCAAGCCAGGTGTGACGCAAGGCATGCGGTTATCATTATTATGCGCTCGGTTTTTAGCTCGTACCCCTGGGCTGGAGATTTTTTATCTTTTTGTGAATTCGTGGCGTTTTTTTCAGATATTTTGAATTTTTTATATAGTATGTTGTATGTTGAGTAGCTTTAGTTGTAGGCTGGTTCGTAGGCTTTGCGTATTTTTTTTTTAGTGGAAGCTGGGCGTATATTAATATCTGGGTACCATTGCAGGTTGAAATGTGTTCGCTCATGTGCATTCTCTATGCGGTTATCATGATGAAAAATTACTTTCATTTAAAGCTTATTTTTGTTTTGGATAATTTTTTGTTTTGTTTTTGTGGAACACAATGTCAACCTGGAGGCGTCTACGAGAATACAAGTACGAGTAAAGCTAAAGCTAAAATAATTTGTTTTTGTTTTTTTGGCATATAAACTTTTGGTTTTTGCAGAAGCATGCTTCGATTTTAGTTGGGTTTTTGTTTAGTTACTATAAGCTCTGCAGGTGTATTAACTAACTGTACTGAGTGCATGTGTGTAGGTGTGTGTATATGTGTGTGTGTGTGTATGTGCAAAACTTTTCGCTTGGAAATTTTGTGGCCCCTACTGTTCAGGTAGCGCATATCTATGAATTTGCATACATTTTCTTTGGATGATAGTTGCATTGTTTCTTTGTATAGAAAAATTAACAATAACATACAAATACGAAAAAAGAGATTTTTTTCTTTTTCTTTTAGTTTTTTAGTTTTTTTTTTCATTGTTGACCTGAGTTGAGAGTTTTTTTTGTAGGTAAAAGTGTGAGTTGTTGCTTAAGATGTTAGGATTTTAAGAGAGAAAGTTAAAGTTAGAGCATTGGACTGGACTGTAGTATAAGTGCTTGAAATATATTTTCCAGCAACAATTTGATCAAAATTTTGTATATACATAGACATTGAAATACTCTTGCCAAATATAGTTCAAGCATATATAAATATATTGATTTTTTTTGTTTTTTTTTTTTTTTAATGAATATAGAGTTCGAAACTACGCAAAAAGTTGTTCAAAATTCAAGTAAAAAATATTTTTTCTGAATTTTACTTGAATTTTGTTTATGTGTTTGTGTTATTTTTTTTTTGCTGTAAAAATGAAAAGACTGTTGAAAGATAGTGTATTTGTAGTTGTGGTAGTTTTTTTTATATATGCTGCAAAACGCTAAGCGAAGTGTTTTTTTTGAAGAGTTAGATTGGCATTTCGGCTGGTTCGAGAGCCTTTAGCCAAGGATAAATTAAAAAACAAAATGAGAAATTGTTAAATTTGAGAAATAAAGCAACACACATAAATGTAGGGTTTATATGTGTGTGTGAGTGTGTGTCGTCTAGATGCTTATGTATGTGTGTGTGTGGTGCTCTATGTTGGCTACTTGGAATTGGATTTGTGTTGTTGTTTGGTAAATGTTAGTTTTTAGTTTAGGTTTTTATTTTTTGTCGCTAGATTTTGTTTACCCAGTAGACTGGCAAAGACCATAACGAAGCATGTTCCCAGATAGACGTCAATCGATTTGACGTACGAAATCTTTGGCAGCGCCGCATTTGTTGACGACATCAATGTGGTCATTGTCAACACGGTTGTCACACCGAGCGCCACACGCGCCGGCGTTGCATTGCGATTGAGCCAAAATGATACCCATGATATAATAACGATCAGTCCAGAGGGTATGTAGATTTGTATAAGATAATAGCCCATCGAGCGCACGAATTGTATTTCGCAGGCTAAACGCGAATAGTTGCCTGTTCATCATCAATTGTCAATGATCATTAGTTAGGAGTTATGAGTCAGTAGTCAATAGTTATGAGTCATAATTCATTGTTCATTAGTTATTAGTCATAAGTCATTAGTCATTGGTCATTATTCATTAGTCATTAGTCATTAGTCATTAGTCATTAGTCATTAGTCATTAGTCATTAGTCATTAGTCATTAGTCATTAGTCATTAGTCATTAGTCATTAGTCATTAGTCATTAGTCATTAGTCATTAGTCATTAGTCATTAGTCATTAGTCATTAGTCATTAGTCATTAGTCATTAGTCATTAGTCATTAGTCATTAGTCATTAGTCATTAGTCATTAGTCATTAGTCATTAGTCATTAGTCATTAGTCATTAGTCATTAGTCATTAGTCATTAGTCATTAGTCATTAGTCATTAGTCATTAGTCATTAGTCATTAGTCATTAGTCATTAGTCATTAGTCATTAGTCATTAGTCATTAGTCATTAGTCATTAGTCATTAGTCATTAGTCATTAGTCATTAGTCATTAGTCATTAGTCATTAGTCATTAGTCATTAGTCATTAGTCATTAGTCATTAGTCATTAGTCATTAGTCATTAGTCATTAGTCATTAGTCATTAGTCATTGGTCATAAGTTATAAGTCATTGGTCATTATTAGTTTTATACCAAAAAAAAGTTGATGTCGAGATTTCGTTAGTTTTTTTTTTTTTGGGAAGAGAGAGAGCAAAAGAGAGCAGAGAGTAAATATATATTATTAGTAAGTGGTTTACTATAATTCTATATTATATAACTTTAAAAAAAATTAAGTTTTATATATAACACTTATTAAAAAATAAAAATTAAAATTAAAGCTAAATTAAGAAAAGGTAATAATAAAAGATGAGCGCATTTTACTGTAGGAACTTTGGGGTTGCCTGCATGATAAATCGATAAGAATCGATAAAACTGCTTCGATAATTGAGATATTTATGTGTTAATTATGCAGGTAAATGATAATGGATTTGATTGGTACGTAAAGCAAAAATCGATTAACTCAACATTATAATATGGGCTATATATGTATATATTAAATAGATATTGTCAAAATTGTGTTAAGTGCTAATTAGATGAAATATTTAACGCTTACTAGACTGCAAACTGTTAAGACAAATATGTTTTAGTAATATTATTAAAGAAAAAAAACTTAGGTAAAATTTATATAAAAAAAACTAAAATGTAACATGAGCAGGAGATAGAGAGCGAGAGCGAGCGAGCGAGAGCTAGCCTAAGGCGCAAATTATTTTTTCTATTTTGACCTGCGAGAATTTGTTTTTATTATTATGTATATATTTGTTTTAATATTTTTGAAAGGAAACTTTAAAGATGAGAGCATGCTTGGGAGGGCGTTCTGTATATATTTTTCTTTTACTTTTTGTTATTTGTTTTATATATATATTAAATTATATATATAAATATATAATTTTTATTAGATTTTGTTGCTTGCTTCTGCTAATTATTATGGAAAAAAATGGATTTTTAGTTTAAAATTTTAAGTTTTAAGATTCTAGTATTTTTGCAGTATATATTTTTTTAAATGTGTATTTTTCTGTGTTTCTTTTTACAATATTAATGTGATTTTGTTTTGCTGTTTGTTTTGTTTCGGGTTATGCTAATGAAATTATCGATAGCGTATTCAATTTTGGCATTATAGTATTATTAACTAAATGTGACTAAGTTAATAATGTAATATAGTCATGTGTGTGTGTGTAAGTGTGTGTGTATGAAAAATATAATATATTATTAATGCCAGGCATAAATCGAAAGGATGATTATCTAAGTATAAAAGCCATATAAAGTTAAGCATCGCTATTATTTATTTGTATCGGTGTTCAATATATAGATATATAGAAGATATATGTATGTATCTATTTATTTATTTAGTTATTTTTTTGCATATATATATAGTTTACGTTTAATGGTTGCCATGACACAAAAGTCACTAATTCAATTTCAGTTTGATTTTGTTTGCTTTTTTGCTTTTCAATTTAATTTTTTTTTCGGTTTGTTTTCTTTATGGAGAATGAAAAACTTTTCGATTGATGTTAATTACTATTTTGATTCGCTTTGGCTTTGGCCAATCATTTAAATTTTTTTATGAACTAATGACGAAATGAAAATGTTCAAACTAAATCAACTTGAAGAAAATAATTGAAATAAATTAGTTACTAAATGAATAGAAAAAAAAGAATCCAACTAGCTTAACATGCATTATTTTTGCGCTTATATTTATATATATATTTTTTTTGTCGTCTTTTTGTTTCATTTTCAGTTTTTATAAAATGGTCTAGAAATTCATTTCTCTTATATACTTGCAGTTGTTCTATATGAGCTATACGTTGATTGTTATACTGTTGATAACTATCGATCGATAGGCTTGCTGATATCTATAAAAATATCGATAAAATTGCATTTGTCAATAGCTCTTGATTATTTATATTCAACAAACAATTATCAAAATCTATGTCGACATTCATATTATTTGGAAGAGTTTGAGTACCAGACCAGTGTCTGTACGACTTTTGCTATGCTTCCTTCTTGGAGACATGAGCGTGGTCCACACTTTGTTCTTTCTATTAAGATACAGACTCCATATAATACTATCTATATACATCTCATAAAAATCGTAATAAAGTAACTGCAAGGATATGATATATTCGGCATGCCGAACCACTTTATTTTTATCTGGTTTGCTGATATATTTGAGCGTTAGTTGTAAATGTAAATTGAAATAAAGCAAAATATTTATGCTTAAGTACATGCATTTGTCATATTTCGACGTCATTTTCAATTGTTTTCTCAGCAAATTGGTTTGCTCGAACTTTTAGCCAGGCATAAGCCCAAGCTAATTATATACGTATAAAACGCGACTTTTCGTTCTAGTTAGATGAAGAAGTATACGAGTGCTTTATAAAAGTATTTTGTTGGGTTGTTGTAAAGAATGAACAAATTTTAAAGGTTAAGCAAAAAAAATGAAACTTAAGATGAAAACGCAAAAACCAATATATATATATAAATATATATATATAAATATAGATATATATATATATATATATAGGTATAGTTAAAAATCGTCATCAGCACTATTTTGTATATACATACATACGATGTATATGTGTGTGTAGGTAAAGGTAAATATAAATTATTATATATATATATGTATATAAGTACACATATATATACATGTATATATGTATGTTTGTATAAAGATAAAAGTAAAGTTATAAAAAAATCGGTAACCGTCTACAGGTACCTGTGGTAAGACTGATCTCCATGGCCCTTTGACGATGACCCAAGACCTTAAATTGGGGCAGCGATACCTCGCTCGAGACACCAACCGAGTTCGGGCCCTCGTTCCATTTATAACGTATGTCACGCATCGTGTAGCCGACTATTTACATTATATATATGTATATATATTATATATAAACATATATGTTTTCGTTAATTGGGCAGTTTCAATTTTTCAGTTTCATGTTGATTTGATTGTTATAATTTTTGGTTTTTTGGGCGCAGTTCGTTGTTTTTGTTGTCGTTGTTGTTGTTGTTGTTGTTCATTTGACGAAAAATATGCACAAAACAAAAAATACATTTCGTGAGACTATTAATGATTGGCAAAAAAAGAATTTCGTAGTAGGTTTTATCAAATTTTCTTTTCTCATATATTTTTGCTTTGCTTTTTTTTCTGTATTCTTTTTAATTTTTTTTTCTATTTTATTTTTTGTTAATTAATAGTCTCATTCAGAACTTGTTGCTTAAAGTGTTGTCAAATATATTTTTTGATTTACATTTTTAGATATACGTATAGTTAAAATGTTGCTCATATATAATACAATATAGTACAGAGTATATATATATATAATTTTTATACAATAATTGGCTTTTGTTTTTTTTTTTTTTTGTTTTGTATTTTTTATACTAAACTTAAAGCTACTGTTTGTTCTTATTGGCAGTAGTTTCGTTTTGGTTAATTTTTTAAACTTATTTTTGTTTCACTTAAGCACACTAGAATGGCAGAAATAGGTGCTCTTGTGTATTCTGTTATGAATAATATAGATATATATGTTTCATAATTTCAAGATTTGTTGTTGTTGTTGTTGGTTAGCCTACCCAAGCAAATGCGCTAAAATAAATAAAAAAATTGTAGCTGAACTCGTAAAGAAAAGTAAAAACATATATACTTTTAGAGAAAGAGAGAGAGAGAGTTAATCAACACTCGCAAACACGCCTAGCAACACTTTCTAACACTGGACTACAACTGCTGCGTACTGTTCTTAAGTATTTTCGTTTATATATGTATACTATTATTAAATCAAATGATGAAGGTACAACATAGGTTAGTAGAGGACACTCGAAACACAATATATATATAAATATATATTATATATATTTTTAGTTAGTAGATCAAGTTACAGTTAGCACTCGATGTAGGTGAACACAAAACTAAAGAAAATGTGCATGTTGTTTGGTATATATATAGATAGAGAGAAAGAGAGAGAGAGAGAGAGATATATGCGCTATAAAACCGTTTTGAAAGGAAATTAAAATAGATTACGTAACAATGAAAGTAAATGAAAATAATGAAAAGTGTTTTATTTTAATTTTTTTGTCACAACAAATAAAATGGTTTGTGTGTGTTCATTCACAATGTTTTGGTAGTTATTGTTGTTGTTTTTTTGGATCTGTTTTTTGGATTCTTGTATGAATTTGTAATGTATGGAGGGTACCTGTGGTTAGGTTTATTTCGGTCGCCCTCTGCCTGTGTCCCAAAACGCGGAACTGCGGTAGTTCGACCTCACTGCTCATGCCCACACTACTCAGTCCATCTCTCCAGAAATATCGGATATCTCGCATCGTGTAACCAACTGGATGCAGTATTGTTGTTGTAGTGGTAGTAGTTGTTGTTGTTGTTGCAAAAAGGGGGTGGGCAGGTTGTTAATTAATTATTGTAATTGTTGTTTGTTTTGTTGTTTGATTTGTTTGTTGTTTTAGTGAAGGTGGATAGTTCGCATAAGAGTTGATTGATCTAGTTCAATCTGATGAATAAGTTCAATTGAGAGATTGTACTAGGTCATAGACTAGTGATTCAGTTAATGAAGTTTTGATTCATGAACTGATATATGGTTCAAAAGAACGTTTACTTCGTGAATGGAATAAAACCATGAACTATTCAAGAACCGAAGTTGCGCACCTTGTGTATATAGCTGAATTAGTTCACTGGTTTATTAGTTGACTAATTCATTAGTTTAATAGTTCACTAGTTCAGTAGTTCATTAGTTCACTAGTTCATTATTTCACTAGTTCACTAGTTCATTTTAATGGACAACTTAATAACCAAGTAGAGACTATTCCTTTAACTTTTAGTTCAAAAATTCACTTTTCATAGCTTGTTCAATTGAACTTATTCTGAACGTTATACCACAACTCTAGTTTGTATAGTAACAATGTTTTCACTTTGGGTGCTTACAGTTAGCTTAAGCTTAAACTTTAAATAAGTTATGTATAAAACTAAGGTGAGCGAGTATTTTGACAAAGAGTTCAATCATATTTCAGATGTATTTACATAGAGGTTGCTTTGTGTGTGTGTTTGAGAGATCTTTGTGTTAAAGCGTGCTATAAAAATTTTGTTTTATAATATACATTGAATTGTTTATAAATATATAGATATTTGCTATAGTTTTAAATCATTTATAGTTAAGCATAGATTTAGTTTTCTTTTCTGCTTCTGGCTCTGTTCAAGTCGATCGATCACAATCAGGAGCCTTCTGCGGTTGCTGTAAGTGAGAAGGCGACCGAAAACCAACCAATCTTATGAATGCATTTTCGCTTTAATGTTACGATCTAGATATATATTTTGTACATATATCATTTTTGTTGATCTGGGCGAATTGTTGTTGTTGTTTTTTTTGAGGGGGCGGGGACACATGAATGAAACATGAGAATTAAAGAGTACGTATTATGCTGCTGGATAAGTCGCTTGAATAAAATATTAGACGATTATTTTTTTTACTGATTTGGCGGCTGTGCAAAATATGGTCCCGGAAATCATAAACAAGTGGGGAAATATGTATGTATATATATATATAAATATGTACGCAGGAAATGCTATCTAGAGCTAACACAGTTTCCGATTTACTCAATATGTAGACGAAAAACTAGAGAGCAAAGCCCTAACTTGATTCGGGAAAAGGTACATAAGACGCTGCATGACTAAAGTCTATTTCTTTTGTTATTAGTAAATACGATATTCGATTTACGATATAGGATATACGTTATCTGTGGTGTGTTCTCTGTGTGTTTATAGCGCTTATTTTTAACACTTTTTGCTTTATTATTTTCTTTCTTTCAAATGTTTTTCTGCCCACACTGAACAAACAGCGCGCGGCCTTAAGCTTAGTGGCCAAAATTTGGTGCGGATGCATTTAGTTAAGGGCTATAAACATATATATATATATAAGATGGAAACAAAACTATCGATATTTATTGTTCGTTTGGGGCAGTTGAGCGTTAGCCAGCACTAAGCACATCAGCACTTTACTTTGGCCACTTCCGGGTTTTTATACTGATTAAGTGCTTCATATTCTGAATGAGTTCATTTCTTATCGATATATATATTTATGTATATATGTATATCGATATACAAGTACAATTACAATTTAATTTAATATCGATATTCAATTGATTCTTTTTTTTTTGCCGTTTTTTTCTATTTTTTGGTTATTGTTAAATTTGATTTGCTTAAATAATTATCCAAAGTACTTACAGCTTTCGATCTCAATGTGACACAGCTGCCGATCCATTGGGAAATATTGCAGATTCATTGGACACGATGCGGTAATAGTCAATCTGCAAAGTTTTCATTTATGTGTTTTTTTTTTGTTTCGTGGAATGGGAAGTTAATATAAGAAGAAGACGATTAGTAAAGTTTTTGAAAGAGTTGGCGCATGAACACAGCTAATGGTTACACAACAATTAAATAAGCAGAGGAGGAGCAAATAATTTACGATATTTAGGGGGTTTTAAGGGGGCGGGCAGGTTCTTTTTGTTTTTTTTTTTAGTATAGATACATATTATATTTTTTTTTTTTGGTATTTTTTTGTTCTAGTAGAGCGAGTTCAATTGGATATGAGTTAACATTCATTTAGTTTAATTGTCAAGAAACAACATTTGTATTTTTTGTTAGTGAGAGTTACGAGTGGCATTTGGTTATTTTTGTAGTTGAGTGAGGCGAGTGGCGCAGGGTAATTTTTTTTATTAACATGAGGTTTTGTGGCCTAAATTCTACGCATACATAATAGCATATATAGTTATATATATATAAATATAGTTTAGTTTTGAGTTGGAGTTGAGTTTGGTTTGAGTTTGGAGTTTTTAGTCGGCTGCTGGTTTGTTGATAGATTTTGGACAGATTCTTCGTTTAAAGGTAGTAGAAAATTGTATGCCTACAGTAGCTACAGTAGCTACTGTGACCAGTGCAACCTTTTTGCGGTGTAAAAGACACATGAGAAACTGCAACTGGTGACCTGCCTGAATAGAGGGGATTTTTCATTTCTTTGCAAACTTCATTTTTTGCTATGAAATATGCAAAATAGATATTTTAATTTTTCCTTTTTTTTTGGTATTGATTCAAGTACACTCGGAATATATATAATATAGTAAGTATCGCCAACTTTCGATCGCTTTCACTTTTGCCAATTGAACTCACTTAATTGAAAACTGTTTTTCATTTTGTTGAACTTTTCGTTTCATATCGATATAAATATTTTGTAAAAATATTTTTAAATATATTATTTTTGGTTTTTTTTTTTTTTTTGGTTTAGTAAATTACAACATCCATTTATACACACACATCAAAAAACAGTACAAAGTTGCAAAAAGGGTTAAGAAATAATTGAGAACAAAATAAATTTGTTTTTTTTTTGTTAGTAAATAGTTTTTTTTACTATTTGCAGTAAATAGTTCTTGTTTTTAATTAAAAATTTATATATTTGTTTTTTTTTTTTGGTTAGTTACACACATACACATATAGATTGTAAAAGAAATTGTAAAATTGCATTTTGCATTGAATTTGCTGAACATAGTTGATTTTTACCTAATACTTCTTGTTATCGATCCAGAATGATGCACTCGAATGAATTCATTACTGGTTGTTGCAATGTGAAAATATGATTGTTTTTCATTTACAAAAAAGGTGTCAGGTACCCAAATATTCTTTATGAATTCTGATCCAACCGATAGTGTTTCTACACCAGGTCGTTTTCTATACGCTAAACGAGGATCGGTCCAAAATTGACGAAAGTAAAAATCCAATGTAAAGTCCTATATCGTATACGATAATTATACGAATTTGTTTGTTTGTTTATTTTATATCGATATATATGTTGCGATACATCGATTTCGATTTCAATTACAAAATGGGAGCAAAAAGAGATGTTTGTTTCTTATTAGTAAACTTGATAGCACTTATAACTAAGTTTCATATATATATATATAAAATAAGAAATGAAAAAAATTGAATATAGAAAACTAAATAGAATATTTCTCGAAATAGTCTTATTGAAATGAAAGTTCAGATAGTTTTAGAAAATAGAGTAAAATTTCGCACAGATTTAATAATTATTATCGTATTATATATATTTAAGATAGTTAGCTAATTATGAAAATCATAAATGCATTTTACGTAATACACAACACAAAGAAAATTTCCTTTAATTTGTGACACAAAAAGAACTGAAATTGTTGGACAAGTAGTTAACAATATCGTGCAACAGTTTGTAAACAATATATTGGACTCGGACGGGTTTATATTTTTTTCAGGGCTGGTCTAATAATACATTTAAATTTCAGGGCATGCAAAAACATCAAATTTACAGTATTTTTGGGCAGCAATAATGTTCTTTTTTTTTAAATAAAAATAAAAATAATACTTAAACTAAATAGCTAAAAAGTAAATTTTTAATTGAAATAAAGTTGAAAGAATTGTAATAGTAAATAAGCTTATTTACAGTAAGCAGTTCAGAAACCTCTCACAAATTGTTTGATTTGCTGTGATGTGAAGTAGTTTAGAGATATTCTGTTTACTTTAGAGAAGATTAGTTACTTATAGTTTAGGTTTGTTATTTTTTTTAGCTAACTCTAAGGCAAATGACTATATAAGATTCATTTGTACAGTAAGAGACAGACAGCGAGAGAGCGAGAGAAATAGCTATAGAATTCGAGAGAGCGAAAGAGAGAGATCTTTACGTTTGCTAGCTTAGCTTGGCTTGTCTTGGCTTGGCTCTTTGTTGTCCTGCTGCTGCTGCTGTTGGCAGTGCCTTAAAGCTAAAGCGTTCTATACATATTTATAGTTATTTAAGGAAGCGGTTCAGGGCTAGGCGAGGTGAGGTTTGGGGACTTGGGGGCTTTTTGGTTATGGTACAGTCAAATGGTGTTTAAATATTTTGTGTTCGAGTGTTGTGTGTCTGTTGCTAAAGGATTGGATTTAATTTACACACAATTCGTATCTTGTATCCTTAAAATAATAAAGTTAACAAACTGAATAAATTCGTTAGATGCAAGTGATATTTGTAAGAAATCGCATAGCTAAGGTACTTCAAGGTACTTTAGGTACTTTTATCGTATATATAAGCTAGAGTAAATGATCACAGAATTGCCCGAGGCACTCGTGACATACTTTATGCAATTCTCAATGCCTTTGTTCTATATATTTTGATAAATTATTAAATCTAGATTTCAGGCTCAATTTCAACTCTAGCAGATTTGGTTTCCACTCGGTACAGGCACGCCAAAAACAAAACTTTAACAAAAATTCAAGAACAGCAAAACATAAAAATAGTTTCGAGCTGTTTAGATAGTTATATATATATCGTTGTTCATATATTATATATGTATATAGGGATTTCAGTCTGGGTAAATTGTACATTATATATATATAGAGTCAGGGTAAGATTTTTATACAAAGAAAGCCAATGCGAGGAATTCTTCTTTTTTATGTGTTTCTTTCTGTGGCTTACACCTCTCTTTGTATCTATAAGCGCACTTTGTGTATTTGTATCTTTATTTGTGCCTGAACCTGAGTAAATATCTGGATTGTGATTGTAAAGATATTATTGACTGGACCTAACACCTAATAAAACTATCTGTGGCATTCAGAGTATCTTTAAGTATCTTTATTTGCATCTCTATAAGTATCTGTATATGTAACTGTATCCTTATCTGTATCTGTACATATATCTGTATCTGTAACTGTATTTCAATCTGTATCTGTATCTGTATCTGTATCTGTATCTGTATCTGTATTTGTATCTGTATCTGTATCTGTATCTGTATCTGTATCTGTATCTGTATCTGTATCTGTATCTGTATCTGTATCTGTATCTGTATATGTATCTGTATCTGTATCTGTATCTGTATCTGTATCTGTATCTGTATTTGTATCTGTATCTGTATCTGTATCTGTATCTGTATCTGTATCTGTATCTGTATTGTATCTGTATCTGTATCTGTATCTGTATCTGTATCTGTATCTGTATCTGTATCTGTATCTGTATCTGTATCTGTATCTGTATCTGTATCTGTATCTGTATCTGTATCTGTATCTGTATCTGTATCTGTATCTGTATCTGTATCTGTATCTGTATCTGTATCTGTATCTGTATCTGTATCTGTATCTGTATCTGTATCTGTATCTGTATCTGTATCTGTATCTGTATCTGTATCTGTATCTGTATCTGTATCTGTATCTGTATCTGTATCTGTATCCGTATCTGTATCTGTATGTAACTATATCCATATCTTTATTACCAGCTGTAAAAGCAAGTATTTATATCTAAAATATATATATGTATCTATGTGTAGCATTTACATCTAAAGCTGCGTATCACTTGCTTAAATTTGTGCTTGTTTCTTATTTTTTCTATCTTTCAGATACATTTTCTATTGTTTTTATGGGGTTTTTATTTAACGAACTAAATAATGCGAACTTATAAATAAAACAATGCGAATATTGTTGTATAATAGTATGTTTATGCGCATGTTGTTGTTGTTGTTATTGTTGTTACGGTGTATGCATGATAGAAACTACAAAGTTGTTGTAACTATTGTTGGCACTGTTGTTGCTTTGGTTGTTGCTGTTGGCTTCAGGCGTTTGGGTATTGTTTCGTGTGCCGTGTTTTCGCTGCCCCGATCTCGTGTACATGTTTCTGTTATGTTAACCACGTCTATTTCACATAAATTGATTGCTGTTGACTGGATGCCAAAGCCCAAAAATAAAAAATTTAAAGACGGTGCAATCGTGTCAATTCGCACAGCATTGTGCGCTACGGCAACGGTGCAGTTAGTATGTGTAGCGTATTGAGGGTGCTTAAGTACGGTGTATCTGATTTCAGACATACAAATGTATGTGTTTTTGGCATTGCTCGCAAAAGTAGTTTACTTTTCAGCTTTTGTTTTGTAACTTGGGTGGGGGCCAATCGAATGCTTTACTCTAGCGACCTCATATTCAGTGAAGTGTTTGTTAGCATGTGTTTTACATATACTTAGCTAAAGTTGGAGCCAATTTCTTATATATTCAATTATCCAATCATTCGAAAAGTCGTGGAAAAAATAAACTATAATATAGTCAAATGCAGAGCTTCCATGAGAAGAGTTTTAAAGCAATTGAAATGAATTTGTGTTTATCCAATCGTCTGTATCTTTTTGTTTAAGTCTTTGACTGGTGAACGAAAATCTCTAAGAATTGAATAACTTTCGAAAGAATAACAAAAAATTAATTAATTTAATTAAGATTCTCATTCGTTTTTCGTTGTTGTTGTTGCGCTCAGTGACCTGTCGAAAATGTTACAAAAATAAACACAGAAGTATCTTGAACACTTATATACGTTTTGCTATATTGAGTAGTTGTATATATATATATGTATATCACATATGACATTGAGCTTTAATATAAATATATATATATATATTGTACGAGTATGCTATATGACGTACATGATCCATATTCATTCATATTTTTTATATATATATTTTTTGTTTTAACAAAAACGCATGCGCGCAGCCTTTCGTCTGTGGGGACTGCTGTGATTATCGTTTGCCTTTGGCCATAATAAAGTACGATTAATGGAAAAATTTTGTAATCTAAAGCATTTGGATAGAAAATTAATGAAGACGATCCAATAATGTGGGATGCAGTAACAAAATATATATATATATATGTATCAGATAGAGAGACGAGCGAATTATGTTCAAAATAAAACAAAAAAACCTTTTGAAGATTTAATTTCAAATTTTAAGCGTAGAAAAATGTGAAAATTTATTTATAAAAGCTGAGATTTAATTTTTTCTTGTTTGCCTTTTTCGAATGCCTCAGAAATGTTCAGTTGAAAACTATAAATTGTTTAACGAGTTTTAATGTTGTACTTTATTTTGGCTCAAGGACAAAATTGATTGGCATTGCAAAAAACAATTATGAACACAACATTTAATTGTTAAAAATTTTGTTTTTTTTTAGAATATATGTTTATATATATATTTAAAATAATGTTTATATATTTTTGTATAATGAATATATATGCATTTGGAAATTTGCAATTTGAATTCAATGTTTCAAAATGAAAAATGAGTTCAAAGTATAATATCAAAATCAAGCGAAATTAAATATGAATAAATTGTGGACACAAAATGTGTGTTAAGCGAGAGTAAAGGCAAAGTGGACAGAGAGAGATAGAGAGTAGGAGAGTATGACAGAGAGAGAGAGAGAGAGAGAGAGAGAGAGATAAGGGGTACAGAGTTGTTTTAGTTGAGAGTTAAATTAAGAAGTTATATGAATTTATTTTTTGATTTTGTAAAAAACAGAAAATTGATTTTCTCATTTTTTTTATATATTTGTTTTTGTTGTTGGAAATGATGTTTTTTTAATATATTTGGTTGGTATGTACCATGAGAACTTCCGAAACCGAACTGATACTGAGCACATACATTGTGACGCCGACCTCCACAGGGGGACCTGCAACATATACACACACACATTGACGATTGAGGTATTTTCTTTTTTCTATTTATGTGTTTGTCGTTGTTGTTGTCGTTTTATTGTTGTTTGTTGTTGTAGTAGTTGTTGTAGTTAGTGTAACTAAAAAGTTATTGCTTAATTCTTACACACACACCATGAATCAGCGGATAGGCTGCAGACTTTTAGCCCGTACAGTCAACGTCTTAACATAATTATCTCTATATATATTTATTTTTTTTTGTAATTTATTATAGGCAAAATTAAATATATAAAGTACAGTTGTGCGCGTTCTCCAGTTGTTTTATTTATTTGTTTTTTTTTTTTTTTAATTGTGCTTGGGGTTTTGCTTTTGTCTTGTTGCACGCGCCGAATGAAAACCAAATCAACTATTCGAGTTTTTTTCTAAGTAGTTTTTTTGCACAGCTCTATTAAAGCTCTATAATTTCTAGCGTAACAGAAAAAAATAATTTTGTTTTTTAATATTAATCTATATTTTTTTGTTTGCTGTGAAAGCGGTTAAACACACCATTTGAAAAAGCTTTGAATGGTTCAGAATTGTTGGCAGCTGCAAGTTAAGAGAATTTGTATCTTAAAGCTTTGCATGATATGCGTATGTGTGTTGTTGTGTGTGTGGGTGTGTGTGGGTGGGAGACAGAGAGCTCATTAAAAATCAAGAATTAGAAATAGACGAACAGAAAATCCACAATGAAATGGTGAACGCAAGTTGATTTTAATATTTTTCTTGGAATTGTGAGTGTTGGATGAAGCTCTAGATTGTTGTGTGATTGGATTAATTAGGGTAATTAGGGTAAGGAAAGCTCGTTTACTTGTGCTCGTAACCAATTACAGAACAAAATTGACACAGAGAGTGAGAGAGACAGAGAGTGAGAGTGAATCTCGTTTCCACAAATTTTATCACACTAAATAAAAGCGTGAGAGTCGTATTAGAAAAAAAAGCATTGCCAATCTTAAGTTTAGTTTTGTGGTTAGTTCCATAAAAAAACACAAGATCAAGATCAAGATCAATCAGTTCTTTGGTTATATTGCCTCACTTTGGGTACCTATTGTAAGAAAAGTTTGAACCTAAGAGGAGTCAGCACTAACTGGCGAGAAACCTACGAGAAGTTCAAACCAAGATAAGCTAAATCATAATTGAAGGAAACAGAAGAGCTAAAAAACTGATCATCAAAGCCAGAAGGAAACACAAACAAAATAATTACTTTTATACAAATTGTACTACAAATTCGTGTTTCAAAAACAAAAACAAGTGTTTCTTAATATATATTTATATATATATATATGTGTGTGTGTGTTGTTATATAACTGAAGCCGTGTTTTATTGAGAATCCAAATACTAAAGTAAAGTGAAATCGAACAATAAAAAAAAACAAGAGAAAAGAAAAAATTTTAACAACAGAGACAGAGATTATGCGAGCGAGTTAGAGAGAGAGAGAGACAGAGATTTATATATATAGAGAGAGAGAGCGCTTAACGATACAAAAAAATTTGTTTAAGGTACAAAGTTTCATATAGTTTGTACCATTTTCACTTCTGAGAGCGAGCTGATTGATAGCACATACATGGTGACTCCGACTTCGACAGGAGGTCCTGAAACACGGCAGGATTATATATATATATCAAGATATATATAGGTTTTATATGGAATATATATATATAACACTAGTCAGTTAAAGAAAACATAGTATATATGATTTGGCAACGGCCTTGCTACATTATAGATATGATTGTTGTTGATATTTAGAGTTGGTGCCCCCTCGCATTCACGTCGCGTTTAGCCTATATATTATAGTGTGTTTATCTAGTTGTTCTTTATATATTAAGATGTTTATCTATTGTATAGCAACTCGTACTTACCACCATAATTGGGTCTTACTCTTTTGTCGTAACTAACACTAAAGGAGTCGAGTATAGCGGATATGTTTACATCACCCAACATGCTGCCGCCGCCAGTACTATATGAAATGAGAAGAAGACGAAACATATTTAATATTATATATGTGTGGAGTAGAATCTTTGTGTTATATAGAGAATAATATATGAAGTTATCAGAAATAAATATTAAACATTATATGTAACTCAATGCCTCTTACTGTTAAAGTAAACATAGAGTCAGGGAAAAGGTAAAGGCAGAAACGGAGAAAAAGAGAGATGGAGCCAGAGAGAGTCTCTCTCTCTGGGAAGAAAATATGTCTCTGTTTAAAAAGTTAATATAAAAAAATATAGAAAAAAAGTTTCAATATGATTTATTAACTTAGACTCAATTATATCTATGTTTTGTATCTTATATATATATATATCTATTTATATATATATATATATATATACTTATTAGATCAAGCTTTCACTTTAGTTCTCTCTTTTAATTTGTTTATATTTTAATCTCGCATATATCCCGCACGTAACACACATATCCAGTTCATTACAAAAGTGCTCCACATAAACAAATTTTCTATATTTGTTTAAGCATATTGCAAAGGATATATAAATTGGGACATATAACATGTATGTATTATGTACATGTTATTTGTTCTATAGGCTGCTAGCTGCCAGCTCTTGGCTGTCATCAACATTTATACAACTTTATTAAGACCTTGCCTTGCTAGACATTTTATGGCTACAGGGTATAAAAACGGATGAAATGGAAAAGGCTGCTGCAGGTACATGTGTGTGTCTGTGTGTGCCTTCATGTGAGTGTTTACATGTACAAATGTAAGTGTGTGTGTGTGTGTGTGCTTTTGTGCTACATTTACTTTATTTGGTACCAAATGCACACACCCACGCAAAGTCAAACAGTCAAACGGGCCACATAAACTTGTACATATATAAATATATATATATTATATATATTTATTTATGTGAGTGCATAAGCATGTATGTGCTGTGTATATACATGTATGTGTGCTTGTGTGTATTATTTATGGCAAGTCCCTGGCATGACTGTGTTTATTTGCGTCTATTCTGCGCTAAACTGTGCTATTAAAGCGCGTTTGTTGGCATTTTAACTGTCTTGCTTGAGTGTACGTATGTGTGTGCGTGTGTGTGTGCGTTTCTGTATGCTGCTCTTGTGTGTGCGTGAGTGAAATCACAATTTAATAAAAGTTACGCCTGCAAATAAACACCCAATATGAGCTGCTTTGTGCGCGCGCGCAGTTCAACAGAATTTTGTTGCTTCTCCTTTTGTCACATTTTCAAAATTTTCATATAAATTTTGATTCAATTATTGTTAGAGCTGAATTGCTTTTAATTTAGCAACCAGCTGTAAGCTGTAATCAAGGCAAGCCTCTCCCATCTCACACGCTCTCTGTTGGGGACTGTCGCTCTCGCTCGCACCCTCGCTCAAACCCTCTGTCCCTCTCTCTTTCTCTATGAGTCTCTTTTATGTATACGCATTAAGGCAAAAGCCGCCGCCGCAAAAAAAAATGGCAGCCTATTTATAAATATACACACACATATATATACACACATAGACATATCTGAGTACAATAAAAGAGGCAAGCTCCTAGCTGCTACACTTGTAGTCGTTGTTGTTGTTTCCGTTGATGGGCTGCCAACAGTTGATATGAGGTTTTGCCTTTTGGATAATGAAAAAGTTTTGATTGCTATTTGATTTGAGTTTAAGATGGCAGCACTTCGTAGGCGCGTACACCGCTGCGTATGCGCAATATTTGTTATGGCGCTTATTACAATATTTGTACCCGCGCCAAGCATAAAGAAGACAGCAGCAAAAAAATGCCATCAGAAATGTTTAATCTGACAGCACTGCGCGCTGGCAATTGCTATGCAAACAGTATTGGGGCGTGGCCGGCAGTACAGCATGTCGTATACGTCATATGCAAATGAGCTGAACTAATTATAATGCCACATTTTATCAACTTATTTATGCAGCTGCGCGAGGACAGCCGCCACAATACAAACACACACACAGAGAGACATGTGTGTATATACATATGCAAATACGTGTGTGCTCGTCTGTGTGTGTGTGAGTGTGTGTATCTCTGTGGGTTACTTGCTATTGAGTGCACTCGAAAATATTCAAGCAGCGTCCAAATATTTGCCTATTGAGACATATAGCAAGCACACAAGTTGAATTGACTGTTTGTTATCTTACTGTAAGGCATTGTGAGTTTTTTAGCAAATGAACGACTAGCTGACACCCTGTAGTTAATAATTAAGGCATTTGCGGTCTTCAAATGTAGTTAATATATTTTTATATAAAATATTGTTTTAAATGAACTGTCTAAATTATTTTTTTTTAAATTACAGGGTATATAATATTCAGCATAAGCCATTAATATATGAGAAAACATGTTTTTAAATACTTAAACTTAATTTATTTTATAGTTCTTAAGCAATTTTCTAAACAGAAACTGTCAAAAATGTGCATACCCAAAGCTACAGGGTATACAAAATAATCACTTGAAGCATTAAGTTTACAGACACTTAACGTTTGCATGTACATTGAGTATTGAGTATGATTAAATATGAATTTTGCAATACCAAAATAATTAATTAAACGCAATTTGGTTATTACTGGGCATTAACAAACATAAAATAAAAATATGCTGTTTCAGCTGAAAACTCTAAACAAACGAGTTTTTTTTTAATTATTATTTAATTATTCTATGCGTCAATTTCAAGTTGCAGTACATTAATACCCTGGAAAATATGAGCTTAGATTATAATAATATGATTAAAATGCAAGTAGCAGCAGAAGGCGTGGCTGAGCTCATAAAGTGTATTTTTATTATGTTTATGAAAATTCTTCCTATAGCAATTGCTGAAAGTGCATAGACTAATAAAACTTTATATTTACTGCTGCATAAATATGTTTATGATGCTTAATATATGAGGCGAGTGCATATAATATTAATGGAAATACTAATAGAAGTAACAGAAAGTTCTAATTGCCACTTCTTATACTGAAAGTTTCTTAAAACTAATTCAAAATGGCAAATTTGATTCAGCTTGCCTCAGAAAATGTTACTTAAAAGTTTTAAAACTTCACTTCAATTTCTAGCTATATATTTTTTGGCACAAAAAGTGCTTGTTTGGCCCATTGTGCAGGCTGCATGCCATAAATGCGCGCATAAGTAGGCAATGCTTTTTGCGCTGCTGCTTTCAGTAACACACAAAATTGCAAAGTGGCTTGCACAAGTTTCAAGCAGCAGCCGCACAATAAAAGTTGTAACAGCCACAGCAGCAGCAACCACAACAACAACAACAATAGAATGTCATGCGCAGCAGCGCGCGCTAGGTCCAAGCCCAAAACGTGTCGCCAAGTGTTATGCCAACACCATCCGCCATATTATCGCTGGCCACAGTTGTTTTGTTGTCTTATCTGTAGCGTTGCTGTTCACATTGAATGCTGTCTCTGTGTCTGTGTGCGTGTGAGTGTGTGTGTGTGTGTGTGGCAACGCCCCTGCGTAACTTATGTTGCTCGGCAGCAAATGAAAATGTAAGAAATATCTTTGTTATTGTTTGTTGCGGCTGTTGTTGTGATTGTTGCCGTTGCCGTTGTCGTTTTTAGTGGCACTTTTAGCGTTGGGCCATTACGTATACGCTGCGTTGGACACGCGCCATTGCATAAATTCAAGTGTTATGTTAAAACAAAACGGAAATGCGAAAAAAAAGAAAATAAAAGCAGCTAGCAAAACATTATCTTGCTGCCACTCAGCAAGAGCTGGTAGCTTCCCTGCCAACCACTCATCTTATTCTCTTATTCTCTCTCTCCCTCTCTGGCTCACTCTGTTTTTGTCGCTCTCCAAATCCGGGACACCCATGTCAGACAAAAGTCTAGCTGGCATTGCCAGCTTCAAGATAAGCACAACTTGGCAAAGGCCTTTATTTTACGCAGTAAAATGACTTTCTCCGTGTGTCTGTGTGCGTGTGTGTGGGTGTGTGACTCGGGACTTTTACGCGGCAATTGTGAAGCCCAACATGTGACTAAGCGTTTTTTAATAAAGTGATAACTTGATGCCTGACGTTTCCTAAAAATAAACATATTTCACAAGCTTAAGCTGATGCTTGGAGAATGAGAGCACAGGAAAAATGGCCGGATAAACATGTTAGCAGCTGACCACGCCCACGCACACACATACTAACACAAGCCGACAGCAAAGCAGCTAGATTTTTATGTGGGTGTGACAACCTCATTGCGTTGAACACAAAAACATATTTGAGACAGCGGAAATATGCTCGTAATTAAAGTAACAATTGAAACAAAATAATTAAGGTTACATAAAGGAATTTAGACTAGCTTTTGGTATTTATTATTATACATAATTAATCTTTTTCTATAACAGTAATTCAATAAACTTTTGTAAATCAGTTTTTTATAAATATTATGATTTTTTATTGAAAAATTAAATTTTCTTTTATTAATATAAAATTATAAGAACATACTTATTTAAATTTAAATTTTATTTTTTAAATTTTCAATTTTTATTGTTAAAAAATAAATTGATGATTATTTAAATTTTTTAATTTAATTAAAACTTTTAATTTATTACTAAAAGAAAATATAAAATTATATAAAAAGGTTTAATTAATTGTTTAATGCTTTTAATATTTTATAAGTTTTTATTATTTTCCTATTCACGTATAGGATATATAATATAAAAGAATTTATTCAAATAGATATAGCTACTGTGTATAGAAATACCTACTTGAATATATTCGTATATATTCTATTATATTATCCACACTCTTTCGATTTCACTTATAGAGTACCTTATTGCTTAAGCAGCGCATTAAGTTGTGCTTTGATAAAATCAAATTTCAAATTCAATTGATTCGACAGCTAAAAGTGAGGGAAATGCATAAAAAATTGCATTACTCTGGCAAGTCCTTGACATTTTCAAAATGAACATCAACAGACAGCACACACACATAGGGAGAAACTAACAACCAGGCTAAGGCTAGCAAATATATGAAGAAGTAAAGCAAAAATGTTGCTGAGCGAATTGCATTACGAGATACATTTGAAGAGTGAAACGGCTGGGGCAAATGCTGCCGTGTCTGGGCTTTATTAAATATTTGAAAAGCGCATTGAAAATGGCAAAGGCTGGCCGAACTGCGACCCAGTGGCTGCCGCTCTATCCACTGTGTGTGGCTCAGACCCTTTGTGGATATTCTCAATCATCCTCAAAATGTGAAGGAACAACAATTTACGCTCAATGGCACTCGACGGCGAGCTGTTGTCGCAGCTGCTGACAGCGTCTCGGGCTGGATATTTTTTCTATCTAATACACTTGCATAGGATATTAAGCTCAAGTCAGCGAATGTGGCACTTCCATGAAAATGAATCTATATGAAATTTGCATTTTCATTGAAGTCGTCCGTATTCCTTATTGAAGCTAGTCATTGTGGAGAATCCTATTAGAAACTTGTCATCGCTTGCTCTTTTCAATGCGTTTTATTTTGCACATGCTTCATTTCTTCATCATTCAAAATTTGGCTTAACTAAACAACTCTAAGAGCCATGGACAAGAAATTTGAAATATTTACTTTAATCAGACATACAGAGATTAGATGTATAGAGAGAGCAGCAGATATCTTTTTTTCCATTAGGTCAAATCTTTTTCAGAATACTCTCGCTTAATAAGCCTTGATTACGCTAAACAGCTGCTCACATCTGTTGTTTAGCGCATCTGCTAGTCGGTCAAGCTTAATCAAAACATTCTCCTTTCATTTTGCTGAACGATGCAGCTTGCCACACACACACACAACCAATATACATTGCTGCTGCTGCTGCTGCTGCTGTCGTCAGTTGGGCGGTGTTGCTTTGTCGCTGGCACTTCGGTATTATCTGCCATCAATAAATTCCAAGTGAAGTGCGCACTTGTGTGGCAAGTGGCGCACAACAGGGCACAGCGGGCGGTGGCAGGAGCAGCAGCTAGTGCCCGCCGTGTCCAGTCTCCAGCCAGGCAGGAAGTTGTTGGGTCTAAAGTGAGCAGCAGCAGCAGCAGCAGCAGCAGCAGCAGCAGCAGGCGTCGCACTTTTTTCCTTCTTATTTTTTTGTGCGAGCACAAATTGTGTCGTTGTGTTGCTTTGGCCTTTAACCTTTCTTGGCGGCAACTTAGTCTGTGTGTGTGTGCAAGGCTGTCATTTGCTGTGCTGCATAGCTAGCTGTGTGTTGGCCGTGCAATGTTGCATGAAAAAGTGGCGTAAAGTCAACTCCAATGCCGCCTGGCCCAAATAAGCAGCCAACTGTGCTTAAAATCGTGCCACTTGCCACATTTCCACGATATTTGCGCCCCATCTCTTCTGCTACTGCTACTGCTACTGCGACTGCTCCTGCTCCTGCTCCTCCCCAGCCCAGCTATAGGCCCTACACGCGATCGGCTAAGCCCATAAACGTGCATTTGTATGTCTCAGTTCTAGTTAGTGGCAGTCGCCTCGGAGACTTTTGGCCCAACCATTTGATTTACTTGAATTGCCTGCTTTGGGCGGCTTATGCAAATGTTGTGTGTGTCAGCCCTACCTGTTCAGCTCACACTCTGTTTCCACTGCACGTAAATATGGCCTAATGAACGTTAACCCGAAGAGGAAAAGCAAAACATTGCCAAATGCCACAATTGTGGACATTTCTTTTAGCCCGCTAATCAAATATGTCGCATGCACCTTTCGAAAGCCAAACAAACTACCTTTCGCTCTACTGTGTAAGGGGTATGTGGCGCTTTGGCCTCGCCCCTCGCCAACGCCTGCTCTGTTGGTAATTACAAGCGCTGCGCCTGCCGGTTGTCATTTTTCAGCCTGCGTCGCTTTTTAATAGCCCTTGGGCCGCATGCAAATGCGAGCTTAATAAATTGCTAACATTTATTTCGAAAAAAAAACGGCTCCTCACTGTAGCAGTATTTACTGTAACATTTACTGTTGACCTGGTCGAAAACAAGCTGTCATTGCGCCTAATTAGCCACGCTGTACATTTTTCAGACCCAGCGCACTCTGCCACACTTTCCGCAGTCAACTATATTTGTATAATCATAAATTAGCATGAACTATGACTCCACTGAGGCACACACACAGACACACAAAGCACTTGCTGCAGTTGGGCATTGCAGCAAAATGTCGCAGCTATAAAATTTATTGTTATTAAAATATTGAACTTAAATGCTTTTTATAATTTATTCTGCAATCAATTACGAAAAGGTTGAGTGAATAAATAAAAAATATATATTACTGGGTACTTCAATATATCTCTCTTACTGCATATATCTATAAGTTTTCAACATCAACTAGATTAGCTCTCATATTTCTCTGAAGATTCATAATTTTGTAATATAAATTTTATCTTAAATATGGAAACCAATCAATCAAATAATCGTTTCAATCAAAATTTATGCTTGGCTGCTAAGTAAATGTATTATTATTTAAGGAGTGTTGCAGCCATGGACATCAATCAATCAATCAATTAATTTATTCTATATATTTTTTATTCATTAGTATATCAATCAATCAATCATTTCAATATATATGTAAGTTTGTTAGCACAGCTTAGTCAATCAATTAATTAATCAATCAAACTCATTAGCTAAACCCTTTTTTTTGTCGTAGTATAATTGCTAAAACAGAGGTATTTTCAGTCAATCAGTCATTCATTTAGTAAGCCTTTTTACTGGCATATTTAAGCTTCTTTAAGCATTTGGATATTTATACTTTTTAGGAAAGTTTTCTTTTACTATAGCTCAGTATTTATTGTGTCAATCAAGCAATAAATTGCACATATCTACTAAGTCAAGCAATCATTCAATCAATCAAACGTATATAAAGCTGCCTTTATTTGTGGGGCCATTTAATTCGGCTAAATCTAAAATTTTATTTAGTCAATCATCCAATCAATCATATCTACTTAAAAGAGCTTCTTTAAGCAAACATATTCTTGGCAAGGATGACTATTCCTGTACGCAAATCTTAAATCTACTGCAGTTAGTCAATCAATTAATCAATCAATAAAAACTTACGCAGATTGCACTGTGGTGCTCCGTTTGGGGCCCGTCTCCTGTACGATTAGCGCCATGTTTATGGCCAGCCATATTGTTAGCAGGGGCGTCCGGGTGCGGGGCGTTAGTTTAGTTAATTTATCCATTGCTGAAACACTCATGGTGGTGCAATTTGTTGTTGTTGTTGTAGTTGTTGTGGTGCGTGGCAAAAGTCAAAAGGGTTCTGTTTCGACTTGGAAGGTTTTGTTCGAGGGTGCGTATTATTGCTTAGTTAAAAATCTTCTCGTTTTTGTTTTTTTTTTGGTTGCTTTAGCGTGGCATTAAAAATGTATTTTTTATGTGTTTGTTTGTTGTTATTGGTATAAAGTAAGTTTTAGTTAATGTTTTACAGTTACAGTTGCAGTAATTAGTTAAGTAATGATCTCTGCTTCTTCGTTCAGTTGTGTAGCTTCTTGCTTATCCAATTCTTATTTCCTGTCTCTCAGTCAGTGATTTAGTTGTTTGCTTTTGTTTTTTTTTTTTGTTTAGGCAGCGAGGCATTCAGTCAGTACATCAGTGCATGAGTAAGTATGTGTGTGTGTGTGCTGGAGTGTGGCTGTGTGTGTATATGTTTTAGTTGTCTCAATGCATGCGCTGCCAATGCGATATCGTTTGACTGCGCGCTGGCCAGGCGTAGCTCAACCAGAACAATGCCAGAACGAATAGCATCAATAGCTGACAGAGCAGCACCGAATCGGAGATCGATTCGAGTTCAACTGCACTGGGCGTGTGCAGACGACTGGCATGAGACACTGCTGTTCCAGCGTTTGCCCGTTGATGCTGCTGCAGCTGCGCCTCGTTTGTTGTCGCTCTGTTCCGTTGCCCAGTTGTCCGCGGCCACATCAATTGCCAATTGCCTCGTGTTAGCCCTCGCTCGCTCTGCTCGCTCTCTCATCCGTTGTGCTGCTGTGGCTGCGTTTATCTCTCGGCTCTAGCTCAGTAGGCTGTTCATTTTATTTCTGTCGCTTTGTCGCTCTTTCAGTTCGTCACCCAAATTGATGCTCCATTCCATAGCCTTTTATGTTTTTTGTTAAATGTCCTGCTTATTGCTATGTTTGCACTGCACCTTTATTGTCCTCGACCTTTAAGCTGCGCCTCTTCTCTTTATTGCTGTTGCTGTTGTTGTTATTGTTGTTGTTGCTGCTGCTGCTGTCGTTGTTGCTGTTGTTGTTGCGGCAGTTGAATCGTCTCATTTTAAGTGTTTGGGCTTGGGAATTGTTCGTTTATTTAATTTGCCTTTAGCTTTAACTTTTGACATTTTTACTACGGTTTCTGTTTCCAATTATGTTGTGTGGGTCCTGTTTTTCGTTATTGTTTTTTATTTTAAGTTTTTATTTATCAATAAACACTGAAAAATTTGTAAAATATTTTTTTTTGTGATTTTAGTTTGCGTTTGAAAAAATCTTGTTTTAGAAAGTTGCCATATTTTTTTAAATTTAATTCAGGTAGGTGTATTTTATTAGGTAGTAGGAATTATTTATTATTATTTAAATATCTATTTTTATTATTTTTTATAAAATATGTTATTTCTGATTTTTTTTCAATTTTATTATTTGTTTTTCGTTATATTATTTTATTTCTTACTATGTAAAGCAAAATAAATGATACTAAAAAGCTGATAATAATTAGAGGATAAAAAATAAATATATATATATATTTCTGTATATATATATAAATTAATATATATTTTTAATTTATTATTTTATTTGATAATTATTATTAGAGCTTGAATATAATTTATTTTAAGTGTTTTCTTTGAATGTATTGATCGTATTTCTTTTTATTTTTGAATTTTATGATTTTTATATAAATTTTACTCTAAAAGTTATTTTTATTACGGACTTATATTTTCATATTAATTTTTTTTATTTTTTATTCATTTTTCTTATGTAAATAAATTGATTATATATTCCAATTTGAGTCCAAAAGTAATTCGGTTTAGAATAATTTTATTTTTGAGGCACTTTTTGTCTGCACTTCTCAAATTTAGCATTGTTTTCTTAACAAATTTTGTATAGTTTTGAATATTTGATTTTTTTGTATAGTAGTTTTCAATTCACAATATATATAAATATGTATATATATATAAATATCTGTCTAGCTGGCGCTCTTAGTTTGCTTTCCATTTCAAATTTCTAAAGCCTTGCAAATTTAGCATTCAATCTATGCATGCGTATTAGTATACTGACACACAGACACACAATAACGCACAGGAATACTGACACACATACACGCATACACACGCACACACGCACACAAGCACACACACACACTAGCTAGCTCTTTTGTATACTTGTAATTTTGTTTGGTTTTTGCCACTTCTTCTGCTTGTTCAGCTTTCGTCTTCCGTAGATATATATATATATTGTACATATATATATAATTGTATGTGTAAAACATATATATAAACATATATATATATATACTATTTATATTTTTGCTGGCTGCTTGCGTCCGTTACATTTTCTCAGCTGCGCGTTTGAATGGCGTTTGGCCGCGTTGGCAATCGGGCCAGACCCGTTGACAGTTGGTTAGTGCCAGTTGGCCGAGAGAGCGCGCAGCTAAGCCAACATGCAGAGAGAGAGACAGCGTGTGGGCCAAAAATAGCTTGAGCCTGCCACAGAGAGAGCTAAAGAGCGAAGAGAGCGTGAGCGCGCGCCTGTAAGTATGCTAAGTCTGCAAAGGCGAACGCTTCAGCTCACACTCAGCCTCTGTCTCTGCCGCTCTGCATCTCTCGCTGCTTGTCTGTCTGTCTGTCTGTCTGTCTGTTTGACTGTGCTTTGGGCCATGTTTTTGTTCCCTTTTGGACTTGGCTTTTTGCAGAAATGTCACTGGCAAACAGGCAACCCCGGCAGTTACACTCTGTTTAGCATAAATGCTTGCTACTTGGCTCCTGCCACCAGCCAGCTGCATGTGTGTGTGTGTGTGTAGGGGCTTTGTATTGCTGTGTGTGTGTTTTCTTCTTTAATTTTAGCTTTATTTTTTTTTGTAAGCGCATTTGATTTGTATGCCGCTTTGGCTTCTTCCGGCGCCTCCTCATTGTATTATGTTTTGCCTGCATTTTTTTTGCCTTTTATAATTTCGCACATATCTCGTTAATTGGTTTTGTGTGTGTGTGTGTGTGCGTGCGTGTGTATGATTGCGTGTGTGTGGTTTTTGCTTTCCAAAAATTTTTGCCTTCGCCGTTTGCTTTGATTGCATTTTGTGGCACAGCATTTGAAATTTGTGCCAGACGCTAAAATATTGTTGTTTTGTACGCGACTGCGAGTGTGTGTGTGTATGTGTGTGTGTGTAGCGTGTGTTGTATTGTTGCCATGGCTGTTTTGCCTGTTGTTTCAACTTGTTAAAAAGGCATGCGAGGAGCTAAGCCTTTTGCCTTGCCAAATAAATTACATAAGCACACACACAAGACTCACACACGTACATGAACATACGCGCTGCACTGTATTATGCCTGATAAGACTTTAGCTCATATTAATTAAGTTTCAGTTATGAATATGTGCGCGTGTGTGTGTGTGTGTGTGTAAGCTGCCATTGAAACTGCGTGCTGAGCCTATGGCCTTTGTCTGAGAGTTTATTAATGAGTTTTACATATTTGATGACCTACAAAACGAGGTGCTTTAGTATGCATGGCCCCAAACAGCCAACAACTTTCTGTGCCCCACTCGCATATTTGATGATGGCCAACTTGCAAATTACTTAATCAGATTTTATAGACAGCTTTTGCAGTTAAGTTTTCGCCAAAGACTTTCAAAAATATCCCTGTACACAGAGATGTTATATCTATATATATGTATATATATAGGTGCTGGCTAAGACTTTAAGCCATTAAGCTTAGAGGCCTGTATCATTAGCACAAGCGAGCTCCTTTATCACAGCTCACCAACTGGCTGTGGGTGTGTGTTGTTTGATATGTGGGTCTGCACGGCTTTGGCAATTAAAAGCATATGCGGGCCGGCTGCCGCATCAGGCTAATCAACGAGCGGCCAAGCCAACAACAATTTAGCTTGCGTATAAAACAAAGCCAAGTTAGGGAGGCTGACAGAACTTAAGCGTCAAGGCGGCACGAAGACGTCGCGGTGCGATGCTCCTAACTTATGCGGAGTGTAACCAACACATGCAAATAAACGTATACATACACACACACACGTACGCACACCGTCAGATACACGCGCGCTGCAGCAGACTCCTTTTTTGCCTACATTTTTTATTATTTATTTAGGGTTGTGCGTGTGTGTGCGCGTATGTGTGTGTACGTCAAGCATACACGCTCAAAAGTTGGTTGGCTATTTTTTTTACATTTTTAATTAGTTCCTCAAAAAAAGGCTACGCTAAATTTAAACCAAAAATATATATTATACTATACATTTATATATATATATTCAATTTCTTAACACACATTTGCTGTGCTTAGCTCTTACACACGAACACACACACACACACAAACGCACGACGCGCTCTCTACACCAAGAAATATGCATAAAGTTGGCTTCGATTTTTGCAGCTACGCCTCTTTTTCGCCCAGCGCCAGATTGAAGCACAGTTTATATTATATACATATATATATATTTGTTGTAATCCAAAATTATCGAATTTATGTGCGTCGAATTGTGCGGAATTTGGCATTAATTTTGCTTTTGTTTAAACAGTGTTTGCCGTTGGCCATACCAGAGAAGTAGTGGAAAATGTATCTATGGCTCGCTTTGAACTATTTTCTTTTCTTTTCTTGTTTCTTTTTTCTTTTGCTTTTTTTGCACACAGCGTTCACGAGGACACAACGTCTGCACTCAACTCGACACGGACACGGACTCGGACTTGTGACTCGGGCAGCAGCAGAGGCAGCAGCAGCAGCAGCAGCAGCGCTAGCGTCGGCGTCGGCGTCAGCGTCGACGCGCTCAGCACACAACAGAAGTTAGAAGAAGAAGCAGCAGCAGGCTGGCAGCACTCTTCGTGTAGGACCGACTGGCACAGTGTTTTGTGTGGAGCACGAAGCTGGGCGCGACTGCCGAGCCGACGAAGCGTAACAGAAAACAAAAAGCCGAAACACAGAACACGAAGCCGAAGCACCAGACACGAAGTCTAAACCGGGCCGACAGCTGCACGCTTCAGCTCTCAGTGGACTGAGCGAAAGGAGAGAGTGAGTGTGGGAGAAAGAGAGCGAGAGCGAGGGAAAAGGGTGTGAGTGAGTAGTTGCTGCTGCTGCTGTATGTAACTGTAGCTGTTGGTAAGTCCTTGTTATTGTTGGCATTAAGCTCACGCTACTGTTTCGCAAACGTTTTGGGCCTCTGCTGGCTGCCTAAGCCCCTCTAACCATATTTGCTGCTGCTGGGTATGGCAGCACGCAAGCAGCTCTGGCACTTCTCGCTCACAAATCAACATAAATCAGCTAAATCGTCGGAATACAAGCAGAGCAGTAACTGCACCAGCAGCAGCAGCAGCGACCGCCGGCTAAAGCTCTGTATTAGTAGATGTTGCTGTCATATTTGCTGCTGTTGGTGCAACATGCACTGCTGTCTCTATGTAGTTCATTTAGAGCTGGTGCTGGCACACTTGTCGTATGCGTCATATATTGACCAAGACTTGCAATCATTTATGTGTGCCAAGCTGTTGACAGTTGCTCTTTAAATATCAAATTCATTTTGCTTTACAAATGCAGCTATCACGTACGCACACTTAAATTGAAAGAATCTCTAAATTCTTATCATTTTTTATATGCAGTTTCGCCTTCAACTTGATTTTAATATTTAAATATCTTTGTATATATTACATAATAAAATGGACTAAATTTTGTAGAAATTTCTTTATAATCGAAAATAAATATTTATGATTTCAGTTTAGGGCCAGCAGCAAGGACTGATTTAAGGATGCTGAAGTTGACTTTTCACTGCGCACTGTTGATTTTTTAATAAGCATAAATTTTTGGGAACGAGCCTCAGTACGTTCGCTACGCCCAACCGAATCACGTATACGCACTCATTCACACACACACACACACGCACGCAAATTGATTGAGTTTGGCGTTGTCATTTGTTGCTGTGGCTGGCCAAATTTATGAAAATGAAATGCCAAAGCTTTTGCGCCTCGCACGTGTGTGCGTATACGTATATAAGTGGCTCGCTGTGTGCGTGTGTGTACGTGTGTGTGCGACAGCGTTAAATTAATGAAACACATGCAGGCAGCAAACGTTGGGTAATTTGTCATTTCGACAAATTTTGAATTATTTAAGCGGAAATCTTAGCGCCCCAAGCCGGCAAAACAAAACAAAGAAAGCGAAGAAAATGCGCAACTGATTTGCGATTGTGACTCGTGACTCGTGACTTGTCACTGTGATTGTGAATGTGACTGTAACGGATATGGCTGACAGTTGAACAATGTGAATGATTTGAATACATTTTATGTTTTCTCTTATTTCTTTCTTCTTGCTTTAAGCTTTCCCAGATGAACCTCGCTTAAATGTTTTGATCAGGCTAAATAAATCTAAGGACTAAAATGAATAACATTTCAAATATATTATTAAAACGTGTTTAGCTCGCCCTTTGGCAGCGTCTTTCACCTGGAAGTTCTGGTTATATGGAGAGCCCATGCGATTGAGTCGCTAATGCGTGTGAGTACCTGCGTAAGCTCCCAGATTTGCACCTGCATCTGTGTAAATCTCATGGCTTGACTCAACAAAGCTGTGTATAAGTTAAATGATAAGCAATTATTATCATAGTTCTATCATATCAGGACGAATGAATAATTATAAATTACTGAACAATTTAATATATTATTATTATTAACAAAATATATATAAACATTGCATGATATACAAATTAATTTATAGGTCATAGTAAGACATATTTTTAATCAAGATTTTTGAAACATATTTAATTGAATTAATAACAGATGAAATACATTTTCAGCAAAAGAGATCTTGTGTATTTAATTAATACTAATCAACACTCTTAACACTTGAAGTGGGTACCGGTTACTTCAAGAGACTCGCAGTTCTATGATCAACAGACTTTGCTATCGACTGCGCGTTTGTCTTTGCTTTACGTTGCTTACTCTTGCTGCTACGTTATATATGATATGGAACTACTTAAGCAAATGTTACAAGTCAGCTTGCCATAATTATAACTTATATAAAATTAGCTACAAGCAGATATTCACTTGAAACAAGGCTGATTTTCTTGTAGTGCATGCCTGATCCTATGACTTTTATACTTAGGAGATTGAAAAAGATGCAGTAAATCTGGAACGGGCTTATCTGTATCATAATAATAAGTAGACAACTCTGCAATATTATATCATCAATTACTTATAGATGAACAGTTGAAGAGTTTGCTTTTATAATTAGCCGTGCTCTGCTCTAAGACTCTGTAGTCGATGAAACTTTCCTCTTCATATTACGCTCCCTATACATTCTTTATTCAATGTACGAGTCTATGAAGCAAATGGACACAGTTGATAGGAGAATAGAGATAAATAGATTTCAGCTGTAGGCGCGTAGGTGACGTGAGCGACTTTAGCTACATATAAACTGCATCAGTTTGAGTTATAGATTCAAACAAAACTCATATTAAATTGCATGCTATAGCTATAGTTAAATGATATTGTTATATATAGATTTTTGTTTAGTTTGCTGATCAATAAATGCTTCGTGTTGATTGTATACCTTTGGGGTTAGCAATATATTTAGTAACTCTTTATGTCGAGCCCGCTTAGATATACATATAATTGTCTGCAATTGTTGAGCAGATAAATGGCACACACGCACAACCACAAAGTACGCAATTTGTTGCTGGCAGCAGAACACAGAAAATGACAAATACAACGACATAGACATTTGGGCTGACTCAGGGCGCACACGTTGCGTATGCTTCATATTGCGTATACGACATGCTTGACACCATGTTCGAAGCTCGGTGGCTAAATTGCGCAATGTCGCATATTTTCACACACACTCGCACACAACTGTAGATTGAGCTAAAAATAAATCGTAAATAAATAATTTGCACTGCGTCATGTCAGAAATTTTAAACACATAATTAACAGCTTATTTAACCCCGTTGTGCCAGCGCGTGTGTGTGTGTGTGTGTGTGTGAGTGTTTGTGTGTGCATGGGTGGGGCTGCTGCAAATACATATATAAAATAAAAAAAAACTTTTCTATGCTTGGGGCGCTAGCAGCTACAATCGTGGCCTGCACCAACACAATGCCAAAGCCCAACGCTGGGGCCAGCCGGGGCAATGATGACAACGACAACGACAACAACAATGTTCGAAACAAAAGCGAAACAACAACGACAACATAACTACAGTGGCAATGGTTATGGAGCAACAGAGGAATTGCCTTGTCACACATAGACACACACACATACATTTATAAATATATATACATTTTGTGAACAGCAGGCGCGAGATGCTGCGCTAGAGCATTTCTGCCACTCGCAGCAAACAGTGGCTGCTAAAAGCGCAAACAGCAGAAATTATAGTCAAATATTATTTATAATAATTCCATTAAAAGAGGCAGACATGTATTGCAGAATTATCCTTTACTTATCAATATATTATAAGTTTTTGCTTGAAAGAAGATATGAATTCCATGCAATTCAAATAGACTTCAAGTTATAAATCTTAAGTAATATGTTAAATGGTTCTCAGCTTTAGCTAGATTAAGGAATGGTCAAGATCTTAAAACAAAAGTGTTTCCTGACTTAAACATTTCTTTGATGATTTATAAAGATTTACATAGTGAATAGGGCTTCCTATCTTTTTCTTTTTCTCTATCTTTGCTTACCTCTTTCTCTCTTCTTTTCCTTCTTTCCATATCTATAACTCCCTCTGTTGCTTTCCTTGTTTTACTCCCTGTCTCTCTGTAGCTCTCTCTCTCTCTCACACGTTTTCCCTGTATATACCTCTATTTCTTCTAACTGTCTCTCTCTTTCGCTCTCTGTCTCTCTCTCACTCTGTCCATATATGACTCTGTCTCTTTCTCTTTGTCTGCCGTTGTCTCTTTCTCTGTCTCTTCTTAGCTCTCTTTGTTGCTTTCTTCTCTAATCTGTTTTTTCTGATTATCTCACTCTCTTTCTGTCTGTCTATCTCTCTGTCTGTCGCTGTCTCTTTCTGTGTATCTCTTTCTTTATTTCTGTATCTCTCTCATTTGCTGTATCGATCTTTGTCTCCTTCTATGTCTCTTTTTTAACTGTCTCTATCTCTCTATCTATCTTTCTCCCTGTTTTTCTCTCTCCCTATTTTTTGCCTTTTTCTGCGCATTTTTATCTGTCTGTTTTTTTTCTTTCTCTCTATCTTTCTCTCTCTCTTTCTTTACCCCTTTCTGTGCCACTCTCTGTCTCTTTTCCTCTTCTTCTTAATTCTAATTGTAACTCTAAATAAAATATGATAAGACTCTGAAATTTATTGGGCATATTCAGTCTAAACACTTTCATCATCTGACATGATAAAAAGATGTAGAATCTAGCTTAGCGTTGCTCCACTGTACATGGCGCTTAGCCAGCATGTAATTCTGTGGGGCTGTCTTCTAGCATGATATGTAGGCGTTAGGTGGGCGTGTCTGTGCCCACCTACATAACCAGCATGTGTTGTGCCATCTTTTAATGTGCCATACACTCAACGCCAATACCAAGAGCTGCACCACACCGCGCCGCACCACTCACAACTCACCACTCATCAGCAGCAGGAGCAGCAGCAGCAGCAGCAGTTGTCTGATGGCTGTAGGCGTGGCACGGACATGGGCCCAAACGCCAAACACTGGACAAATGTGCAATGTGCAATGCGAGGGCGACACCAGAACGAG